CATCAGTACAAATCAATATTCATAACATGACGGTTGATTCAGGACATCGAAGCTGGTTTCTAATAGCACCTCCAGTTATACCTGGGCTGCTGAAAGCGCGTCTTTTATCCAAGGATTGAATTACGCGACACAGGCCACGAAAAATTTTCCCCCTATCCCTGTATATTTAGTCCTTTAGAGGTATTAGTCAAGTAGCTCATCATCTGTTGATGGTGCAGTATGCCACTGCTGTCATTACGGTTAAATATGGTCACGGTCTATCACTCACAATCCTTGATTACGAGCTTTGTGCACGTGCAATTTTCGCCTATTCATACCTGAACCTCTCTGACATATTGTTTGGTTCATTTGTTTCATTCTTAGCTCCCTCATAAAATATCGGCTGATTGTCTTGTATATGCAGGTTTGCTTATGAGCCATGATAAAAGTCAGTCTCATAATATGAGTGACGTATACCAAAAAAAGATTAAAGATCGAAGAAAAATTATTCCGTTACAGTTGATATATGTCTCTTGACGAAAATGATCCACAAATTCAATTAAAAGAGTTTCAGTCCGTTTCTAGCTGCTGTATTACTTAGTTAGCCGGAAGTATCGTTGTCATAATCATCAGCCACTGTCTCTAGTGTCATGCAATAGTCATCTTCACCGTTCTCATCATTATCATGACCGTTTTGATGCTTATTGTCATCGTCCTCCTCCTTTTCGTCCATTTCCCCCCTCCATATCACCGTCAAAACATGTTATTATCGTCATCATCAGCATGATCATGAACATCATCATGTGCATCGATCAGTTTTTAACTCCTCTTAACGCCAGCATAAATTGCAGAGAGTTTTAAGCCTGGTGATTCGATTGTCACATCGATCATTAACAATAAACAAAGCTTTATTTGCTCAGATGCGAAATGCAAATGACTTGGTGTTATTACTAAGATCGCTAGGGATGTTTTTCTTCAGTCATGGCTTTTCACGTTTCAATGCCTGCTCGGACATGCGCATTAAAATCGCCCATTATAATGAAGGACGTGAAGGACTCCGTACTTGGCGCTTCGTCAGAGCATCTTCTACTTCATCCTGGACAGACTCATATTCTCCCTGCAAATTGGGCGCATAGACATGTAGCAAGGTCAGTGTTTTAGCCTGTTGTAGCTTCAGTTGGAGGATTGTCACTTTTTCGTGGACAGGTTTCAATTCAGCGATTCATTCAGCCAGGTTGGGTTCTACCAGAATATTAATGCCGGTCATAGCATATGTCGTAGAGTCGATACCTGAGCAGGCAGAACGGCTTTCTCCTGTAGAGTTTCATGGTTCCACAACAGCGGCGTTTCGTTGACGAGAGTTCAACTCTGTCCAGTTGGTACTTTGTATCATCATCAAGTGGGTGCTTCTCTTTCCCTCTGAATGAAGAAATGTTCTAATTTCATATGTGCTCCAACTGTTGGACTGATTCCGTGGAATGTACTCTAATGTGCAGAAATGGACAGCGCTGCGATTCCGTTCAGAACGAGTAGCGATTTCTTTGCTCGCTGGTATCTTCCTCATCTTCGCGTGGATTTTCGATCCCCCCCCGCCACTACAACTGCCAGAACGCGAGAAAGTACTTTTCTCCATCTGGTTCAGTTCCCCAACAACTTGTGCAGCCTTCGGTAACCCGTACCGGTGTAACGTTCAGTCTCATCCTGTACCATGTCGAACAGGTCACTCACTTTTACGTGAGATTTCGTTTCGTCCGCGGCTTTCTCTTTGCACATCCCGGGCAGCAGCCAGTTATTTAATCGTTATCGTTGTACAGTGAAACCCCGATATAACGCGCATCTC